TTCATTGCTAATATCCAGTCCACTTTATTCCCAGCACTTGCTGCTGCCCAGAACAAGTCCTTCAACTCTTTTCCTTTGAACTTCTGTTTGATATTTTGGTACATATGCCTCAAGCAAAACCTGTGTTCAGAATTCGAAAATAACTCATTCACTGCATGGACCAGTCTTTTTTGTCGATTTGAGATAAATGTCCAGGGTATGTTTTCCATACCAAGTCCCAAATCAGCCATTAGTAGTTCCAGAAACCACTTTCATGAGTCATACCTCTCTACCTCGACCACTGCTACAGCTATTGGAACCATATTGTCATTGCCATTTCTACCAATTGCTAACAACAACTGACCACCAAACGCAGATTTCAAAAAACACCCATCAAGACCAATTATTGGTCGACAGCCATCGAGGAACCCCTGTTTGCAAGCATAAAGACAGTAATACAGTCTTTGAAATGTCCCTTGTGAACCTTCTTCTGCTGTATCAAGCTTAATCTTGACAGTGCTACCAGGATTTGTCTCTCTAATTGTAGCTGCATAACTCCAAAGGTGGTGATATTGCTCCATATCCGTGCCAAGCATCTCATCTTTTGCTTTTTTCTTTGTTCTGCGTATCTTGGCAACGGACACGTTAATCATTAGATCTCGTCTAATATCATTCTGAAATCCATTCACGGCACACTGCGGGTCACCTCTTATCTTGTCTTGGTACTTCACGCTCAAATACTTGACTGTTGCATGCTTATTGTTGTAATCTCTAGCACAAACATACTGGCCCTTCAATGATTTAATTTGAAAAGTAGTTTCACCTTGGACTGGTGTTGCACGAATCCTCCAAGAACAGCCCTTTGCACACTTCGCAATAATTTTTTTTGAGTAATTTTTTACCCAATCAACCTCATAACCCTCTCTTACCAACCATTCGACCAACACATATCTAAAAACTCTGAAATTGGAAAACTTTTGCCCAACCTTCAACTCAAAATGTGGTTTGAGAAACTCCACTTCAGGGTTAAAGTCATGACATTCTTCATGGCCTTCATCATCAAATCTGCACTTGTCCAGCAACTCTTCATCAGAAATTACTGGTTCTTGCCAATCCTCTTCTGGTGTATGTGGTGCTCCTTCTTCTGTTGATCTTTCTTCAGCCTTTTTACTGTTCCCTGCTTCAGCTTGTGATGGGATCTGAGATGGGTGTTGGTCAGCAGCTTGAGATACAGCTTGAGATGAAATCTGAAATGAGATATGAGGTGAAATTTCTCTAATGCTATCTGGCCCTGCAGACTGCTTCTTATTTTTACTGGACTTTTTTTCCTGACTAGTTTCACTTTTGACAAGACTCTTGATAGCCACCTTCTCAGGGAAAGAGAACACGTGATAAGGCTTAAAGTGAGTGGAATGTAGTATTGACCCACTCCCTGGTTTACTACTTCTGTTCACATCTTTTTTACTTGTAAAAATGTCCTCATCCTCCTTTTTTTCCTACCCCTCCTTCAACCATTCAGACTCATCATCATCATCATTAGTGTTATTTGGCTTACTTGGATTGCAATTACTAAGCCCATCTTCTTTTTTTTATACCCCACCATCTCTGCTGTCTATTTTGGTGTTATGTACCCCATCTGCGTTTTTATTTGTTGTTGATGCATCCATTGTCGAATTTGGCTCCAACACATTGTCCCTACCATGTTCTAGTGGCTTTTCAAAAGGATCATCCCCACTACAAGCATATATTATCCTTGTTGCCAAACCCCAATGTGCTTTATTCATCAATTTAACATCATCATGGTCCCTAATTGGATGTAGACCACCATCTAAGTCTACTCCTGGAGCACAAAACCAGAAAGTCACTCTAGTTGCATCCTCATCCACTTTTTTAAACATTCTGCAAAGGCTAACTATGCAGATGTGGTCCTCAAGTCTATTTTTAAAGATACCCATACGGGTTCCTGTGTAGTGGAGGGCAGGATATTCTCTAAATTTTTCATCAAAATACATATGTATATCTACTGTCTCCTCTGACTTGTCTTCTTCTGTTGAATGTTTCAAGGAATATAATAAGGGATAATTGCAGAAACCTCCCCTGAATTTTATAATAATAGCATTGACCTCTCCTATCAATATTGAAATAGCACTGACCTCCCCTATCAAAAGTTGGAGGCAATTTAATAAGCAAAAGTGGATCAATTTACTAAAGTATCCCTGACATGATTTAATTTTACCAAATGAATGTGATGAGTACTTTCATCAAACCCAACAAAACATTTGTTAATAAAAATTACACTAAATTAACTATTTCTGCATAGTTTAACTAATTAACTAAATAACTAATAATCTAATTAATTAATAACTAATTATCTAATTAACTATTAACTAATTAACTAATTATCTAATTGTTAATAGTTATTAACTAATCAAACTATTTCTGCATAATTAAACTAATTAACTATTAACTAATTATCTAATTAACTATTAATTAATTAACTAATTATCTAATTAATTAATTAATTAATTAACTAATTTCTGTTTATCTAATTAACTAATCTCTATTTATCTAATTAACTAATTAACTAATTAACTAAAGTTGTTGTCTGTCCGAAACTAATAAACTATTTGCATGTTAAACTAATTAACTAATTAGCTGCTTAACTAATTAACTACCTAATTATCTAATTAATTAATTAACTAATTTTTGTTTATCTAATTAACTAATTAACTAAAGTTGTTGTCTATCCTAAACTAACAAACTATTTGCATGTTAAACTAATTAACTAATTAACTAACTAATTATCCAATTAATTAATTAACTAATTTTTGTTTATCTAATTAACTAATTATTTAATTATCTAATTAACTAATTAACTAAAGTTGTTGTCTATCCGAAACTAACAAACTATTTGCATGTTTAATTAATTAACTAAAGCTGTTGTCTGTCCGAAACTAACGAACTTTTTGCATGTTAAACTAATTAACTAATTAACTAACTAATTAGCTAATTAATTACTTAACTAATTAACTAATTTCTGTTTATCTAATTAACTAATTAACTAAAGCTATTGTCTATTCGAAACTAACAAACTATTTGCATGTTAAACTAATTAACTAATTAACTACTTAACTAATTAACTAATTAATTAACTAACTAATTAACAAACTATTTGCATGTTAAACTATATGCAGTGCGCATTACCTATTTAAAGTATCAGCTCTTTATAGGTATTTTACTTTTAAACATTTAATTTATGATGAAAATATCAATGTTTGTAAGTAAAATTCAAAAAGTGTTACAAAAGATATCAATATTCTTACTTTCAAACATTTAATTTATGGCCCTATGCTCCTCCCTTTTTGTAAGAATATTACTGGAACACTTTTTGAATTTTACTTACAAACGTTGATGTTTTTATCATAAATTAAATGTTTGAAAGTAAAATACCCATAAAGAGCCGATACTGTAAATAGGTAATGCGTACTACATATAGTTTAACATGCAAATAGTCTGTTAATTTGTTAGTTAGTTAATTAGTTGATTAGTTAAGCAGTTAATTAGTTAATTAGTTTAACATGCAAATAGTTTGTTAGTTTCGGATAGACAACAGTTTTAGTTAATTAGTTAAACAGCTAATTAGATAAATAGAAATTAGTTAATTAGTTAATTAATTAATTAGTTAATTAGTTAATAATTAATCAGATAATTAGTTAATAGTTAATTAGTTTAACTATTAACTAATTAGATAATTAGTTAAGCAATTGTCAAGCAAATAATAATTGTCAAGCAAGAAGAGGGCAAAATTGGAAGAAATTTCTTATCTCACATCTACAAAAGTTGTCAGGGAGTTTCTGCAACAAATTGTTACTGTTCAGGGGAGGTGAATGCAATTTCTAAACCTACAGGGGAGGTCAGTGCAAATGTCAGAAATCTCAGGGGAGGTTTCTGCAATTATCCCATATAATAAATATGCTTTAGTCTCCCAACTACTATGTCTCCATCATTGATATACAGAAAATCAAATAAATATAAAAGCACAAATAGAAAACCAATTTTAATAGCATTCTGGACCACTAAACCAGAGAAGACAGTAACAATTATAGAAAATTTACTTACAATTCTTTGTTAAATATCTTGTTGTAATAACAAGTGACTGAGTTGTACTCAAACACACAAACACACACAAACAAATCCTACTCAACACCCCTAATCAGCAAAAATTTCCCATCACAAATGGAAATTTCAGAAATTATTAGCGTCACCTAGTCAACACCCAAATATCAACAAAAAATCTCAACTTTAAATCCAAACTTGCAGTCCCAAATCAGCAAAAATCTCCCATCAGAAATGGACATTTTAGAAATTATTTGCATGACTCCTAGTTCCAACACCCAAAATTTTTAAAAAAAAATCTCGACTTCAAAACCAAAGTCGTAGTCCTAAAACAGCAAAGATCTTCATTTTAAATCCAAAGTACCAGTCTCAAAACTCACAAAATCAGGAATTTTTTAAGGTAAACAATATTTGGGTGTAAATAACATCATCAGCCCTCAAAATCTGAGATGGGTAACCCTAAATTGTAAACTAATTATAACATGCATGAACTGATTTTAATTAATTATAACATGAACGAAGTATAACATGCATACCCATTTGCCTTCGATTTTCTGGAATAAATCTTCGTCTCCTTCAATCTTCTTACTTGATTCCGTTTGGTTGGGCTTTACTACCTCTCTCTCTCTTCGTAGGGTTTGAAGGGAAGAAATGAGTCCGCTCAATTGCATTTTGGGTATTATACAAGGGCATATTGGTCCTTTCATCAGTTCCCGTTAATTTTACCGATTTTCGTCAGTGTTACAATTTAGTTCAAAACACGAGGTGTCGCGTTGTATATTTTGAAACTATAGGGGGTTTTTCTGTGTATTAGACTTATCACAGGGGGCTTTTTTGTTTTTTACCCTAGTATATATAAAGCTTGAAAGTGTACCACTATGTGCATGAGCAACTGGATTCGGCATAAGTAAATGATTAAACAGCTATCTATCGAATATCGAACACTTGAAAATGGGGCAGCAGCCATTTTGGTTTTTTCTTGAACTTTGTTATGTTGCTATTTTCTTAGTGGCTTTGAGGCCAAATAGGGTTGCAGGGTGCAGGAAAGAAGAGTTTGAATCCGCCATAGGTGATCCGGGGATGAAAAGAGATGATCTCAGAGTAGCAATTGAGGCATGGAACCAGTGCAACGAGGTTCACAAAGAAGCCCCTCAAATGGGAAGCCCCAGGCGAGCTGATTGCTTTGATCTCCACAAACACACTTGTCCAACTTCACATGGTAACTCCTCCACCTCGTGTGCGTTGTCATTTTTTTAAAGGATTCAAATGCTAAATGACATATTTCATCTTTTTCCTAAAAATAAATCTAGTAAACGTCCAAGCATATACAATTTGTAGAGAATTAGAATCTCATATATGATTTGCTTGTTTTGTCATTTCTATTGAATTTATTATTTATAATTTTGTATTTTATTTTTTTACAACAAGTCGTAAAAAATTTATTATTCTATGCCTTCTTCCAAAATAAATTGTATTTTCCCTTTCAGTTTGTCATTTTATGAGGGATAAAAATTTTCAAGTTCATGATGGTCCCCTTTTTTTTTTTTTTTTTTTGGGTTTGTAATTCGAATGGTCTTATTTTGGTTTAGAATTTGAGAAGTTACTATCTCTAGATAGTTACCATGCATCTTCAATTGATCATCTGGCCTTTTCAAGAAAAAGAAGATTTTGATCTTGTTTTATATTAAGACCTTGCATCTTTACTGTACTACAGATTTTTTATTGATTCATACAGAATATAATGCCATTGCTTGTATGATCTGGCAGTCAAGTTGGTTCACAAGGTAAAGAAAAAAGACAATAAGCTTGGCATAGCAAATGCTAGAGCCCAAGGCTTCAAGAACATCAGTGTCGATCATTACGCAGCCTGGAAAGAGCTATTCTTGGGTAAGAAATGCCAGGTGAAAGACAAGCCAAGGCCCTGGCAATTCTGGATGATTATGCTGAAGAGTGGAAACACAGACACATTAGCTGCTATTTGTCGCAAAGATGGCAAGAAATCCAAGCCATTTCCACCGGGGCCTCGTTTTCCATGCTTTGGCAAAGGTTGTATGAACATGCCGAGGATATATCATCAGTATACTAAAGTGCAGAAGCATAAAAAACATAGGAAAAATCTCAGAGGAAGTTTTTTCGGTACATGGGATTTGGACATGGATATAAAAAACGCAGCTTGTAGGAATGACACTTCGTATTATTCAGTTGTGTGGAAGAAGAAGATTGGCAAGGGAAGTTGGGTTTTTCATCATCTTCTCAAGACATCATCCAAGTACCCCTGGTTAATGCTCTACTTGAGATCAGATGCCACAAGGGGATTCTCTGGGGGCTACCATTACCAAACCAGAGGAATGTCCAAAATTGTGAGTGCCTCTTATCCACATACCAAATTGTGGGAGGCATGTTGCATATTTTGGCTTAGGAATAATCTTTACTTGTCAAGGTTAGAGCAAAACTGCTTCTTCTTTTTTTTTCTTTTTGCTTTTCTAATTGTCATAATGTTTGGGACTATTTCATAATCAGCTAATGCAATTCAATTTTGGCTTGGAAGATTCCCAAATCACCACATTTCAAAGTCAAATTCACATTGAAAATAAAGAGAGGAGGAGGTCGAAATAGCCAATTCTACCTCATGGACATAGGTAGCTGCTGGAAAAACAATGGAAAACGTTGCAATGGAGATGTGACCACAGACGTTACGCGATACAGTGAAATGATTATAAATCCCAGCACACAATCCTGGTGCAAACCAAGTGATATCAGTAAGTGCCCCCCTTACCACACCTTTCCAAATGGAACTCGAGTTCATCGCGGTGATAAGGAACGCTTTCCTTATGATGCTTACCACCTTTACTGTGCTCCCGGCAATGCTAAGTATCTTGAGGAACCATACAACCTATGTGATCATTATAGCAATCCTCAGCCTCAGGAAATATTGCAGATCCTACCTCATCCTGTTTGGGGAGATTATGGATATCCGACAAGGAAGGGTGAAGGCTGGATCGGGGATGCAAGGACTTGGGAACTTGATGTTGGAAGACTTTCACAATCTCTTCATTTCTACCAGGATCCAGGCACTAAACCAGCGAAGAGACATTGGCCATCTGTGGACTTGGGAACTGAGATTTATCTCAGTGGCAATGAAATAGCTGAATGGAGTGTAAGTGACTTTGACATAATAGTTCCAAAGAAACACTATCGCGATTTTCGGTGAACGAACATTGTTGAGGTTGAATTTGTGATTATGACTTTAAGTAATTTCCTTTAGATATAGATGTTTCAAGCTCATCTCTTACTCTATTGACGACACTCACACAATTGTCGAAGTTCGGCGAAGTTAAAATCAACTGAAGCAAACTGAGGTAGACTGGCATTACAAGAACAACTGCTTAATCCAACCTCCATCCGATAAAATAATACATAGACATGACATAGTAACAATAGTTAGTTGAGCCCAAAATCAAAATGCACTCTTTTTTTTTTATTTATTTATTGCACCCTTCTGCAAAAGAACATCTTGATTATGCTTAATCGAAGGGTAATATTTGTCTTTGTGTTCTTACATAGATGTTAGATCACATCTTTCTCCCCAAATTATTGCTTTCATTCGCATAATTTGAAGTCATTTTCATGTGATTCAACTAAATCATTAAGTTGAATGGTTTAGAGTTTATTCAATCGATCGAATGGTATAAGAGAAAATTGAAAAGTTTATGGGCCGCACTGATGCAATTGGACAATGAGGGGCCGGGGCAAAGTAAAACCTCTGTATCTTCGGGGTGCATTTTGTAATCAATAGTCAAAGTTGTTAGCGGCAATCTTCGATCACACGGGTGTAATCAATTTGAGTCTAGTTCAAGTAGTACTCCGCTCGAATTTGACTCTGAGTTAAAAAATTTGAACTTGAGTTTCAACTTGGTTTTGATTTTATTTTGTATTATTCGAGTTTAATCTCGAGCTTATGCTCATCGAACCCAATAAAGCTTATTTCTAACTCAATCGAGCTTAATCGAATTTTAAAAATATAAATTGATATTTTGTATAATTTTAAATAAGGGACAAAATAGATATTTCATATTAATAATTAAAAAATTAAAAAATATATATACATGTGAAGGTCGATGAGCTTTCAAATTTCACCTATTAAGTTCAAACTTGACTTGTCAAATAATTCGAACAGCTCAAACTCAAGCTCAAAATGGTCAATATAAGTTCGAAATTGAGTTTTGATTGAGCAAACTTGTGAGATATTCCATTAAATTCGATTGGTTTGCACTCTTATTCCACTCTGCACGCCTCAATAAAAGTGGTCAATGACAAACTTCCTACTTGCACTTGTTTAAGCTTATCAAAATTTATTTCACCTTTGAATCTTGGTTTTCTTTTTCTTTTTCTTTTTTCCTTTATTTATTTTTTTTTGGCAAACTCCCCACTTGCAGTTATTTACGCTTATTAACATTAGTTTCACCTTTGAATATTCAAACTTTGGTTTTTTTTTTTTTCAATTTCACATTTTTTTGGGCAAATTTCCCACTTGCTGTTACTTGAGCTTATTAACCTTCCACTTACAGCGTAAAAATAAAAAGCTTACTAAGCTTAATTTGACCTTTGAATCTTCAAACTAGGTTTCTTTCTTTTTTTAATTTCACATTTTTTTTAGGGCAAACTTCCCTGTTGCAGTTATTTAGGCTTATTAACATTAATTTCACCTTTGGATCTTCAAACTTGGTTTCAATCCTAAATCTCTTGATCATGCCTCAAAGGTTATCAATATCCTGGAGGGAAAGGTTCTTACTGTTCTGCAACCTCAGTTAATTATCAAATGTTTTAGCTGACATGCATCAAATTTGCAGAATCAATTTAATCAAGCTCATCTATGGTCATTTGAGCTAAGATCACTAGAAAAACTGTTCATTATTTTGGTAGGAAAAGATGATTTGGTCGCTATCAACTAAAACCCTGAACGGTTTTAATTGTTTTCTTGCACTTCACGAAGATGCAAGGTCGCTTAAATCTAATGAAAGTCAGAGTAATTCGATAGCAACTCTTTTCTTGGCAGCAAGCAATTCTCACTAAATAATGTTGTAGAAAATAGAAGGTGGAAGTAATTGCACGCTAAAAAGTCAACATGTACTATAATCTTCCCCATGGAATCAAATCATGTATCATAACAGGCAAGCCACCATTAGAAAGCTATGAACTCATGGGGTGCTTTTGGCTCTTATCAACAGAAGAAGACGGAATCTATATCAAGCTAAGCCCAGTGGACCTTGATATTTTCCAGTCAGCGAATATTTTATGGACAAGTAATCCTCAATTCTGGATTTCTACTTACAAAGTTTTGAGTGGGAGCAATAACAAAGTCAATGAGGCTCTCAGTCCTCACACATCAATTTCCATCCAGTTGTTGAACTTAAGGAGAAGACTAAGAGAAATTCATGAACGGCACATCTATTTTTCTTTCATGGTAGAAGTTTTTTATGGAGAGATCCTTTTGGCTTATTAAAACGGAAGCATCTGACAAATAATAAAGGCTGGTAATTAACTAAGGCAGCCATGTTTCAGTGGATTTATACTCGTAAATTTGTAGTCCTGATTTCAATGATGGAATTGCTAGTTTCTACGGAGGAAGCTTACATTTCAGCTATTGGCGATCCCGGCATGAGGATGGATGATCTTAGATTGGCAATTGAGGCATGGAATCAGTGCAACGAGGTTGGTGAAGAAGCTCCGAGGATGGGAAGTCCTAGGAAAGCAGATTGCTTTGAAGTCAATTATTCTACATCACCAAGTGAGTAGCCAATTTACTGCTATCGCCTCATCAGTTCTTTACCGGGAATTTTATGTTTTCATTGTACTTGAATGACCCCTTTCCGCTGGTGATTTACTGATGATCGATTATGTTACATTGTTTTGAATTCAACTTGGGATTGGAAAGTCAGCTTAGTTCACAAGGTAGGCGAGAAAGACAATGCACTTGGTATATCGAGTGCCCCTTCGCAAGGGATCGGGGAACTAGATGTCAATCAATATGCAGCATGGAAGGAGCTATATTTAGGCAGCATATGTCAAGTGCAAGACAAATCAAAACCTTGGCAGTTTTGGAAAATAATGCTGAAAAATGGCAACATGGATACTCTGGCTGCAATTTGCCCTGCCAATGGCAAGAAAGCCAGTCCTTTTCGAAAGTCCGTCTTTCCATGCTTCGGAAAAGGTTGCATGAACATGCCATCAATGTACCACAACTACACCAGTGTCCAAGGATACCAAGGTTCTCATACACTAAGGGGAAGCTTTTATGGAACATGGGATCTGAATTGTGATATGAATAAGACAACTATACGAAATGGCACTTCATATTATGCAGTAACTTGGGAGAAGGTAGTGGGAAAAGCTAGTTGGAATTTTCACCACGTACTCAAAACATCACCAAAGTATCCTTGGTTAATGCTCTACCTTCGGGCAGACACTACAGAAGGGTTCTCTGGGGGATACCACTATGAAACCAGAGGAATTTTACGAGTGGTATGATTCCTTCATCCAAATGGTCAAATTCCTACATTCAGTCTACTATTTCAACTGCTACCACTTGCAAACGCCTAGAGGTTTTATATCTTATGGCATCTTCTACTTGGTAAAGAGTCTTGATGCTCTGTGTTTTCTCTTTTTCTTTTTCCTTTATTCCCCTCAGATTCCAAAATCACCATACTTCAAAGTCAAGTATACACTAGATGTAAGGCGAGGAGGGGGTAGAAGAAGTCAATTCTATCTTTTGGACATCGGTGGCTGTTGGAAGAACAATGGAAAGCCTTGCGATGGAGATGTGACAACTGATGTCACTAGATACAGCGAAATGATCCTAAATCCTGAGGTATACTCATGGTGCAATCCAAGTAGTCTAGGCTCTTGTCCTCTCTACCATACTTTTCCCAATGGCACTCGTGTACACCGCACAGACGAGAAAAATTTCCCATACAAGGCATACCACCTATATTGCTCTCCAGGCAATGCTAAGCATCCAGAGGAGCCCCATAGCTTTTGTGATCCTTACAGTAATCCACAGCCCCAAGAAATTCTGCAGATTTTGCCTCATCCTGTTTGGAGTGATTATGGGTATCCAACAGAGGCAGGTGAAGGTTGGATTGGTTATCCAAAAACTTGGGAACTTGATGCTGGCAGATTGTCACAGGCACTTTACTTCTATCAGGTACTCCAGTAATTACTGCTACAGCAGCTAGCCTGCTGCTAACAACCTTGTCTTTTTTGTTTTTTTTTTTCTTTCTGATCCTCATAAGATCAGCGACCGACCAATCTCTCTCTGGTCCTATTTTGCCTAGTTCTTTTCACTTTATTATTCATCATTTCTTTCATGTTAACTAAGAGTAAGGTAACTGCTCGATCAACGGTAGTGAGGTAACAAAAACAAGTATTCAATCCATTTATGAGGCTTCTTCTTTGAACTAATTGGTTCCTCAGGATCCTGGCTCCCCACCGGCAAAGAGATATTGGCCGTCGATCAATGTGGGCACAGAGATTTTTGGGAGCGAGGATGAAATTGCAGAATGGACAGTTAGCGACTTTGATATTGTCGTTCCAGAGGAACAATATTCCCGAGGAACACGGATGTCAGTAAAAATATATCTGGTCTGCTGTTTCCTCATTTCTTATCCAATCATTTATCAAATTTTCCGTACTTAAAAGTTTCTTGACCAAAATACTAAAAAACTCCCTGTGATTTACCAAATATTTAATTGAACTCTCTCTATTTTGAAAATATAAACTATAACTCCCTGCGGTTTCAACTAAATTGAAAATTAGACGGAATACATTCAATGCAGCGGTTGTACGTGAAATGTCAGTATTGCCCATGTAGAAATGAACTCCCTATGATTTGCCGAATATTTAATTTCACTCCCTCTAGTTTGAAAAACTATATTATATCTCCCTTCAATTTCAACTAAATTAAAAATTGAACATAAGGCATTTCACGTATAATAGAGGCAATATTAACATTTCATATACAACCATTAGATTGGATGATTTTCGTTTAATTTTTAATTTAATTGAAATCACAGCGAACTATAGTGTAGGTTTTCAAATCAAAGGAAATTAAATTAAATATTCGACATATCACAGTAAGTTTTTTTGGTATTTTATCCCAAATTTCTTTAGGAATAGACTCTTAAAGGTCTTGAATGTCAATGTCCGAATCATACATATAATGATGCTTCCATGATATTCTCTGATTCTGATCACTCTGTATTTCCTGTCGCCCTTTCCACTCTATTATGTGTTGAAAATTTTCAAAATTTGTATTATGTGATTTTAAGACGTATATACATTGTGATAAATGTATATTCATTCATGAATTTGAAAATTTCATGAATATATTCATGTATGTGGAGTTCCATAAATGTAATGATAAATTTATGTCTTTGATCATAGAATCATGTGATGCATGAATTAAAATACATGAATTTATACACAATACCTTAAATCTATTTATACAAGTTTTTAAGAATAACTTCACTTATTTTTTAAATAATTTTTCCTATATAAACAGATCAATCTACTTCTATCGGTTATAAGAAGTTCAATGGCTAATCCAGACATCCTAAAATTCCAACGGCAGTCGAGTGGAGTCCCGTATGTAATTAGTAGACGTGAAGTATTATTTCAATTTAAACGAAGAACTCAACGACGAAAACCTATTTTATTACTTAAAATCAATTTTACACAAGAATAAACTTTACAGCGACTTGAGAACAAGAAGTAACCCCTACTTTACTCAAGTCTCAGGATACTCTGAATTTTACAGTTCAATGCACCCCTACTTAAAATCCGGCCAGACAGCAAAGAACCCCTAAGTCAGCCCATACTGAATGGCACCAACCTCTCTATGAGCAGCAACAGCAACAGCTGCAGCGCCAACTGCACCAAATTGAGATTGTGCCTGTAGCAATTTTGCATCAAGCGCAATTTGACTATTTAACTGGACGGATTTTGCTTGTGACTGGTAATAGAGGCTGTGCTGCTGGTGGTGACTGTTGATATCAGTGGTAATGACAGGAGTTGACTTGGCAGGCGGGTAGTGTTGTTGATGCGGCAATTTTGCCTGAGCGGAGGAGTCCTTGACAGCTTCAGGAACATGATGCTTATCTTGATTCTTCAAAGTGTTAGCGGTCCTAAAGAAATACTGGGGAGACATGGCCTGAGGAGGAAGGACGGGATTCTGAATGTACGCTCTTCCATCATAGGCATTATTTATGTTTCTGACGTTCTCATACGGTATAACAGGTCCCACAACTCTTCCAGGTTTAGCTATGAAAACGAACGAGTATCATCAGTACAGACAGGGAGAAGCGCAGTAACAGTGATCAACTAACAAAGACCAAGAAAATTTTGAAAATACCCATATTAATGAGAAAAACAAAGTAGGACCAAGATAGAATTGGAAAAGTAAAGCTTTATCAAAGCAACAAGATACACACTGACCAGCAAATCTACCATGTAAAATGCGCACTAGATACATGAAGTAATAGTGAGTTCCAGTATAACATTTTTTAACCGAGCGGAAAAGCAAACAGTGGCTTGAAGACAAACTATGACATATCATGTCATAAATGTCAAACAATTTCCGCCCGTAACAGGGTTACTTGCAAATTCAAGCACCACACCTCTCTTTCTGCAACAATAAAATAGCCGTTTCCTTGTATTTCAAACCAGAATGCAACTAAAATCTGAAAATTTCAATTCTAATCATCCATACGTATTAGACAATAATCACATGAAGTCAACTAGAAGAAATAGTTTGACAAATCCAAATTGATGATGAAACATCCATGCTCAGGTAATGACGTTGTGTGTTAGCTGGAAGGGAGACAAAATGGTTGCTTGATATACAGTACAAATTAGCAAGCAATATTAGTGGCACAATAAGAGGGGGAAAAAAAGTTGTGAGAGAGGAAAGAGACTTCGGATTCCATTTCAAGTAACGCCAAGTTCATTGCCCCGGGAAAACTGATTAACATACGAGGTAGCAGTTGTTTTTTTGGGGGGGGGAAGGGTTTGAAGGAGGGTGCCTTGAATACCTGGTGGCACACGTGGTGGTGCCCGCAAAACCTTTGCTGGAGTCCCAGAGATGGTTTCTGAAACATTAACACTGCTCGAAACTTCTTGACTGCTTCGTCGATTATCAAAAGCAGAATCATTCTGATCTGATTTAGGAGCGATAACGCTTGAATTGACGGTAGACCTAAAAAACACGTGACAGACTAATGTAAGCCAACAAACCAGGAAAAAGGGAGAAAAAGTTTCAAATGTTTTATTGTTAAAGAATGTACTCTTGAAATAACACATTCATACTGATGGAACAGAAAGACAGGAAGTGGAACAAAAATCTACCGTGGAAGAGAGACGTGCTTTCTCTCAGGGGGAATAACAGGCCCGCTTTTGCCACCATTTTCCTCGAGATAGGCAAATTGTTTTCTAAAATGACCAATAGCACTGCAGAGTAAAAACGAACTCCACTATTACTACTTGATACCAATAAATTACATCACCACATAAAAAGTAAAGAATTTGAAGCAGAGAGTTGTTAGAACCTAGGATAGAGAAAATTTGCCCCATCATTTCCAGCCATGTAATCCTTCAGCAGTTGAGGGTGGTATTCTAATATCTCCCGAAATATTAATTCCCTAACGTCCTCCTTAGTCACCCTTCGGCGCTCAAACTCAAACTCTAGCTTTGAGATTGGCTGACAAGAAGGTTCCCTCTCAATCTTTGCCAGCCCCTTGAAATAAGGATGAGCCAATGCCTAATAAACCATATAAATCAAGTTTAAAACCAAATTAATCAAAATAAATACTTAATTCTAGCCTGTACTTCCCGTGCTAACAATACAATCATATTAACTTCCATTTTGAACAATTTCGACTGACAAAGCAAAAAATACCTCTTCAGCAGTTGGTCGGTCCTTAGGATCAAAAGCTAAGAGTCTTTGTAGTAGTCGAAGAGCCAAAGGATCTGCATTTGGAAATTTCTCAATAAAAGGAATCGGTTGCTTTCTCCGCATATCAGTCAAATATTTTCTTGCCTTCTCATTGCGAACCTGCATCCACAACAGAACACAAGTTCAAACACACTCTTGATTGATAATAGCCAATCCTAAACTATCAACTAGTGACACATCGCATAAAAAACATAACATACTCCAGATATCGTATCAGCTGATGGTGTCCCCAGAAGATCAGTAATCAGTTCCAACTGATGAACGACACTTTTACCCGGAAACAGAGGCTTTCCAGTTAGTACCTCAGCGAATATACAGCCAATACTCCAGATGTCAATTGCAGGTGTATACTGCAAGCCAAAGCCCACATTAATCAGATCAACACTATCAAGCAAGATTAGAAAGATAGTCATAAGACATTCAAAATTTGATGCAAGACCTAACACAGTTACCTGAAGAAAGAAATTTCAACTTCCAGGAGAGTTCAATATCCTCCCTGAACAAGGAATTATTTAATCTACACATCACCACTCAATGCACGCAGAATACATTTCATACAGAAATGAAATGAGTTACTGAAGCATTAAAATCACAAATTCTACTTCACGACAAAAGAAGTCAATGCAAAGAACTCCCAAGTTAATCACTATTTTACCCTACTTAGCCTTTCAATTGACACATATATTTTGAAGCATACTACAATGTATAGTCAAAAAAAGGGGCACAGGAAACAAATTGCTCACACACACACACACAGAGATATATATATCACACACACACAGATATATATATCACAAAATGTAGATTCCTGCTTAATTCTTTTTCACAGGAAAATTATAGAACACCCAGTGAAACCATTCTTTTTTCATTTATGCTGCAATGCTAAGTGTGCAAAACATACTCATGTGATCCCAATTTTACAGAACGAAAAAGCTAGGGGACATACATGCAATGCCTTATCAATGAAATTTAGCAAGTTTACTTGAGGATGACAAAAAGATAAATACATTTACTAGATCCAATAAGAAGCATACGGAAAATTGACAACATAGGACGATCATTTTCAGCCCCAGCATTCATCTTTTGCAGCAAATATACCACATTCATGCAAGTTTCTAACCTAAACACACAGACTCACGCATGGAGGGAGTGCAAGAGACCATGGAACAAATGACAATTCAATAACAATGCCTTACAGTTGAAAAGCAATATCATGCCCAAGTAACAATAGATGAAGGCTATGCACACCACATATCACATGTATCTCAAAGGACCTTGGGAAAGGATTAATTCTGCCATATACACATGAAAAGACAGTATACCCAAGTGCAGCACTACCTTTGAGAAGAAGGATCCACATAACTCGGGAGCCCTATACCATCTTGTAGCAACATAATCCTACATGGTAGCACCGAGGGGATCAAAGGAATCAGTATCTCAGAATTTCTTTTGGCAATCATAAAAACAAGAAGAAAGCCATGTGTGTGTGCGTGTGTGAGAGAGAGAGAGAGAGAGAGAGACTGGGCAAGCCATACCGTCCAAAAAATTGTTGTAGGAGTATCACTAAAAGCAACTCTCGCTAATCCAAAATCACATATTTTAAGTTTGCAGTTTGCATTGGCCAATATATTTTTTGGCTTAAGATCCCGATGATACACATTCGCTGCAACCAATGAGCATCAGATCAGAATGGAACTACTTATCAGAACCCTCTTAAAGAGATGAAAATTCACAGCTACGTGCTTCAAAATCAATACCAGTAAGAGAATAGATAAATTTCATGAGAAAATTACTCGCAAGCTCACTGATGGACTGAATCTACTTTATTGAATGCATTCCGTAAATAAAATCAAATATCTCTTACACGAACCTGTATGCATATATTTCAGTGCACGTAGCATCTGATAAAGGAAAAATCGATGATGCTCATGCGTCAAATCATCATTCGCTTTAATAACTTGGTGAAGGTCCGACTCCATAAGCTCGAAAACGACATAAATATCTCTAAATTCTCGCTTTGAGGGTGGCATCATAATCCGCTTGATTTCAACAATATCAGGATGTCGTAAAAGCCTAAGCAGTTTAATCTCGCGCAAAATTCGAATAGCATCAGAAATATGCTCAAAGATGTCATTTATCTTCTTTATTGCTACTTTTTCTCCAGTATGTGTGTCAATGGCTGCACATACAACTCCATAGCTCCCCTTCCCTATTACTTCCAGAATTTTGTAACGGTTGGCATCCCCATACTCCGTAAAAAAATCTGCCTCCTTGGAGCTCTATCAGATGATTAAAAGTCAGATAATAACATTTTTGTTGACTAAGCAAAGGTGATGGACTTTACCATCAGCAGGAAATAGTGATAATGAAGCAAGTAAAACAAGAAAAAGAACGCATGATGCCAG